CAGTTAATCCGCTGTGCGGACCCACCTTATTATTACCACAGGACAACTCTAAGCAGGCGCCTATGCGCCTTCCGCCAGTTTATGTACACTAGATATTTTCCTGCCCCAACCATCAGTTCTACGAGCTTAGTGCCTCGTCCACTGCTACTTAGTTCAGCGATTCTGCGAGCTACGCTACGTCTTTTATGATAAGTCAAAGAATATTATAACCATTTTTAGTCTGTATTCCTGATAAACGAATGATGGTAACCCTAACCTTGCCCTCTCATAGGATCAAAAACTGGTCACGGTACACACTAACAATATGATGCATATGCCCGGTTTGTTTACACTTTAGGGTGCACGCAAATGACGCGTTTTTGGTTCATCATGTTGGAACTTTTAGTGACCTAAGTTTATTATGCTCATTTTACTCCATTTAAGGTTTAAAAAACACAATTTTCAACGATGGTACCTACTACTATTTATCTAAAACATTTACACTTGGTACAACTTTTTAGGGTGTGAAGTGTGAGATAAATGGATGCATTCGAAAAAGCTTGAATCAGATTATTCAAGCCGCAATCTTATTCTAATCTAAAGCAAAAGGTCCACTCTTTCAGTACTCCTCACTGAGTTAGACATCAAAAACTTACGTACGTACGTAATAATTTATTATTACTATCTCTTTATTCACTTTTCTTTCTTAATTCTAAATATTTTTTTAAAATGTAAATTTTCAAAAATAAAAATAAAAATACATTATAAAAAAAAACTTAAAACTAGTTTATCCGCTGGCAGCGGAGCAGGGCCCAAGCTACCGGTGGTCAGGGTCACAGGCTGAGGAACCTCCGGACAATGCGTGCCGTGCTGAGGATCACCGCCTTTTGTATCTGACCCTTGAGCCAACCATCTAGCGAGAGCTTCTTTAGATGTTGGTCGAAGCTCTTCGCTATTATCCCGTTTGCCGAGACAACTATCGGGACAATGATCGTGGAGTCAACATCCCACATGGCGGTCACCTTATTATTACACGAACCTTGTCCGTACAGTCCGTACCTACCCATTTCATTTCATTTGGATGAATTCCCAAAATAGAAATAGGTATTTCAAGTGGAATATGAAATTCCAAAATTAAACTTCCTAGTTTTGTTTGTTGTATTTTGTAACTTCGTACACGGTTTTGAATCCCAAAATAACTTTGTCCGTAAGTTGAAGCCAAATTGCCGTGAGACTGCGGGAGCACGCGGGAGTAACGCAACAGGTTGTGTAATTGCTACCTTTAAGTTGGATAACACGAAAGTAACAAAACCAACAAAAAGTATTAGCAATGGCTGTGGTAACGACAAAAACATTTTTAGATCCCTTTTTACGAAATAAGAAGGAAAAAATATCTTCTTAAAAATGTTTAAATAATACTGTTGGGGGTTTTAATACTCCGTTATACTTAGTTTCATCATTTAATTTTCTTAATTTTCAGCCACTGCTGAACAAAGGCTTCCCTCAATATTTTCCATTATTGACTGGTGTGATTTTCCATTATTGATTGGTGGGCAGGCATTCAGCGTCGTCGGTTCATCTTGTGGGTGGACGTCCCACTCTGTTTTCCGTTATGTGGCCTCCACCTAAGAACTATGCTGCCCACCAGTTGTCAGTTAGAACGAAATACGTCACCGACACTACGAAAGCTATTATTCGAAGGGCTTTATGGTGAGAAATAAAAAATTATATTGTTTAATAAATCAAATTAAAAAGAAGAGAAGAGAAAAAAGTGACAGTCGTAAAAAACACAAAAAAGAAATAGAAGTCGTATCTTTGCGACCCTTTACAATTGTACTAGGCCGTCATTAGACAGACCTGTAGGATGAGTGTGAGTTTACATAAAACGTCCTCACTAGTGAGCACGTTAAAAAAATGTATCAAGACTTTTGTTCTTCGACGTTTTCGCTAGGGGCGCTGTACAATCCGTCTTATTATATTTAATGTCATTTTTTACGCGCTCACTAAACGATGTAAACTCACACTACGCCCTTTGTACACATAGTAATGATTTTTAAATTCCTATGATTTTTACACTCCAGTCTATTAATTTGATTAGGACTAAGGCGTCACAATCATTAGTACGGTCGATAAAACATCAGAATAACCGTAAAATTAAGCCGTACCAAATAATATGAGACTGTAACAACATTTACTCAAATCTCAGAAGCCCAGACACTTTATAGCAGAAAATAAGCATACGCCGGAAGTTTTTCCAGAGCAATATAAATCTTCGCCGCCGAGTGACAAAGTTATCTAAACTATATTGCCTACGTCTGCCTGCAAATGGCAAAGGAAATTGAATCTACAACCGGAAGCACAGCCGCCGCCCGCCCGCCCTGACATTTTATTAAGTTGTAGAACCTCTGACTTTACCAGACAGACTTTTCTTCTTATTTTGAAGCCAGTAGCACATCATTGCATCGCTGCGAAAATATACGTACTTTTAGCGAACCTATCTATCAATATACTCCTACGTAAGATAATGTTCATAAGTGGATAGGTAGGCGTGTGTCTACATGTTGTTCAAAATTTAAGCAGCTAACAGTGTTACACCAACTTTGTAGTCGCGTTCTTGCACTGGAGATTGAAGGGACTGTAGGACTGAATGATGACGATGACTACGAAGAAAATTCGTACATATACTGCTGCTGCTCACAAGTTCTGATTAATTAGAGCATTGACCATAAAATTGGTTCACACCAATTATGATTAATATTACTAATTGGACAATATATTTCATACTTTAATTTGGAGCGTCCTCATTTTCTGCCCGGAAACAACACACAGCAACCGGGTTCTCCAAGGAAGTGTGGGACGAACCCCCCTCCAAAAATCTCCATCCTTCCAAGATAATCTTTTCCCCGTATACCGTTGCTGAGCAACTCTAATTGGGACGCCCTTACAAAAATACTATAATTAGTTCGGTTTTTGTTGTCTGATCTCGGGCATTACCCGTATTCACAAACGATGCTTGCTTATTTGACGCAGCAACGTTATACGAAGTCGAACGCACAGCTTTGAATAGAGCTCTGTGATTGGTTCATGTGTGTCACTCCGCCACTCAAGTATTGTCTATGAATAGGTTTTTGGGACCCTGGGCGTCTGTGCCTTTGGGAATACGGGTGTTAGATACTGAATATCAGGTGACACCACTCAGCGAACAATGTGTTGTGGTATACGTATAGTATTGTGTGTTATGTACGCGTTATTCTTATTGTGTAGGCTTATAAGGAAGGAACGTGTAAAGGCATTTTTGGGTACGTGTCGAGTATTGATAAGATAGATGATGGACTAGTTCAAACTCCAGCTTTTTACCCACATCAATATTATAAAACATAGTTGAAAATAAACGATAATATGTTAAGTGGATATCAAAGCTAATTAATGAATAAGAGCGGCATTGGTATTGTAATATTAATTTCCATGTTATCGACATGGCAACTGTGTATAGAAACAAATAACCAAAAAGAACAACTGAAACTGAAGAAGCTATTCTGTTGGACAGTCCAGTGCATGACATAGTCAAAGCTCTCACGTGTCCTCTTTAATAGATGGATAGCGATTAATCCTAACTTAACAGTTTTATAGCCATAAAAGTTGGCTCAAGCTTAACTACCTATTTTTTGAAGAAGTGACTCTGGATTCTTCTACAGACACATTTTTGGGGCTCATGAAGCACTTTCAGGATCAGTAACTAGTTTTTTGATATCTTGTATAGTTTAGAAATAATCGAGTGAGATCACTTATCGTTTCCACCCTGTAGATACCAGTGTATGTTTGGAATTGTAATTCCTGGGTCTTTAATACTGATCAAGAAACTCGATGGTCAAGCGTCACTCACGCCGTATTAAAACGCTGCGTTTAAACGCCTCGTCTGCGACCTCCCTTACTGCCAATACATTAAATCAAAAACCTGATATTTGAAAGCTATGAGGCGGATGGACACGCACCGCGCCGGACGCAGGGGCGAATAGACCTATACAACGGCACATCGAGATATCCATACACTGGCTCATCATATGCAGTTGCAATAGACGCTATTTTGCAACAAAACTTTAAAGTCTGATGTGTGTACAGTAATTATGTAGATTTTAGTGAATATTGGGGACGTTCAACCCCTAAACGAAGCCCCCGAAGCTTAATTAAGTCGCGTTTGTTACTATTAAAACGCAATATGCAATTTTGTTTGTGAATTGCATCAAAAACCGACCGTTTAAAATATGTACTTAAAAAAAATTGGAAATTGGAAAATACATAAGGGAGNCTCGCGCTCCTGCGTCTCTCCGCTGAGCGCGAAGCGAGCTAGGAAGGTGTTCACATAAGGTGCGCAATGTTTAGCTTCATGCCTTGTGTTGTCTCACCTTGCGAGTTGAAGGAGCCGGGGTTNTAAAGTTATCATTTGTGTAAATGAAAACATACTTTTTTTGGTAAATGTTGCCATTATGTAAACATTTGAGAGCTGCTTAGCTGATCACGGCTTCAAATCCGTTGAGTAGCGTTTGAGAATACCATTTAAAATTGAAGGATACTTAAATTTAGGAGCCCGTCAGCTGAGTGACAGATTTGAGTAGTGTTTCAGTATTCGGCCGTAAATAATAATAAAAACACAGAATGTGCTTTTTTAAGTTGCCTCAAGACACTGAGAGGTAAATAAGTAGTTAATATAATTCATGATAATTCATGCTAAATCATGTATTTCCTCTGCCATTTTCCGCAGTTTGGCACCTCACGTCACATCATTTTATCGAAGTCAGCCCTATAGCTTCGGCGCAGCACCGATCACTGACGTTTGTCAACAAAATGGTGCTTGACTCTTGAGACAGGCTAAATTACACCATATTGTTAATGACATTGAGCATAATTTTTTTTAAATACCTTCGCGAAGTAAAACTTCTGTACGTAGTACTTATTATTATTCTGTGCCACTACACCAAACGGCCGACGATGATGATGTGTATACCTCTGTCGTCGCCAGGTCGTCGTCCCCCGCGTCGCCGACGTCGGTGTCGTCGTCGGTGATGTCGTCGCGCGCCACGCCGCCGCACCGCGCGCCGCACCCCCACCAGCACCACCGCCCGCTCAATGGTAAGGGAAAACGAACCTTATTACTTGACACGCAAAGATTAAAATCGTTTGAAGAAATGTGAATATAAGCCGTGTGGTGACGGCAGAGTAGAATACATTTGTCACCAACCCCTACTCTTCCTGCGGGTGTCGTAAAAGGCGACTTAGGGACTACACATCAAACAGAGAACGGGCGGCTGCGCTCTCTGAAAAACATCATTTTTTTAAACTGCGATATCCAACCCGTTTGCCAAGCGTGGGGATTATGGCAAAACCCTCCACCATAGTGGAGGAGGCTCATAGTCCAGCAGTGGACTGTATAGGGCTGTTGATGATGATGAGGCGTAGACATTAAAATCTCTCGTCGGTGGTGATGTCGTCGCGCATCGCTCCTTCAACACCAGCACCACCGCCCGCTCAATGGTAAGGAAAAACAAACTTTATTACTTGATGCGTAAAGATTCAAATCGTTTGAAGAAAAGTGCAGTTCTTCAATGGTGCGTGCACAAAACAAACCTTATTACTTGAGGCATAGACATTAGTCTCTCGTCGGTGATATCGTCGCGTATCGCTTCCGCAACACCAGCACCACCGCCCGCTCAATGGTAAGGGAAAACATACCTTATTACTTGAGGCTTAGAGATTAAAATCTCTCGTCGGTGGTGATGTCGTCGCGCATCGCTCCTTCAACACCAGCACCACCGCCCGCTCAATGGTAAGGGAAAACAAACCTTGTCACTTGACACGTAAAGCTTAGTCTGTTGAAGAAATGTGTCGGCTGTTCAATGGTGCGTGCACAAAACAAACCTTATTACTTGATACGTAGAGCTTAATGATACGTGAACGACAACAAATCTTATTACTTGACACGTAAAGCTTAAAATCTGTTCATCGCTTAACCCGGCGTCAATGACGCTGGGTCATATTGACCCAAGGCATTTTCAAACGTTCATAATTTTTTTTTGCGTATATTTTGTGGTTCGAGCGTTCGTATAGCTGGAGATACAACCTCCCTAAGTCCATTTCGTTAGTTAGATCAGTGTGACTCCGCTTGCGTAGCGAGATACACAGGCCTCAAATTAAAACGGGTCATTTTTACCCGGCGTCATCGGTGGCGCAGTGATTTTGTAGCTTACTTTTATTCACTTTTTTGTGTTTAGTGCTAGTTTATGGTGTTCTTTTTTTAAGTTTTAGTTAAGATGTTAAATGACCTAGCAAGAATGTAGCGTTGCTAGAAGAGTCGGATTCCGAGAGTGAAGAATTTCAGGCTGTAATAGCCAGAACTTAGAAATGGCAACGAATGTGAAAAATACGCAAGTGATGTGGATTCAGTTTTCGAATAATCTCGACCTTGCATTAGTACGACGCCGGAAAGTGCGTCATGACAAATTTACATGCCTAGACCATTTGATTACATACTGCACAAGTTGCAGCAGTTCCATGGCTTTGTATGATGAAGCAGAAGACTGATCTCATTGTATCAGCATACAAGAAGTTGATTTTATCTCTTTTTCACTATATAACATTGTTGATTCCTTATAATACTAAAAATCTTTACCAAAAACAAAAAAATATAGACTCATTGTGTTTCTATACATGTTTTTTTCATGTTTTGTTTAAAAAATAATAAAAAAAATATTTATTAATGTATTCGTTTTATTTTTGTTTTATTAGCTCAGTAAATAACCCTATATTTATAGACAGTAATTAAAATTAAGATTACTTGTTCAATTTCCTGAAAAATCATCGATGAAATATGGGTCAATATGACCCGGGGTCATCGTCTTTGCAATTATTTTCACGTCATTGGCGCCGGGTTAATGGTATGTGCACAACAACGTCAACAACAATAAACCTTATTACTTAAGATGCTTTAAAATCTCTTGAAGTAATCTCCTACTCAATGTTACGTGCATGATAAAACAAACCTTTTAACTTGACACGTAAAGATTAAAATCTATTGAAGAAATCTGTCATGATGCATGTGCAGATGACTCATTAAAGCAAACGTGCAAGAGGAATCAAACCTTATACTTGACACGTAATGCTCTTGAAATCTATTGAAGAAATCTGACATTACGATGCACTGATAAATGTACAGAGCACGCATCAAAACATTGGGACTTTATTTGGTAATGAATATTAAATCACCATGGCATTGATTAGCAGCCATTTCCATTCATTTAAACATTATTATATTATCGAGTAATCGTGTATTTACAAATAATTTATATTAAGAATGTAATTGTTAAGTGATAAACACTGTTGTAATCTGTATGAATACTATGCGATAGTAAAATTTTATCGATACAATTTTAATCATATTATCTCTGTGATTCGCGGATGTCCCCTAATCACAAAAGATTCGCAGATCACGCCTTAGTTGTTTAAAGGGTAACAATACATTTTTACTAAAGCCTGGTCCGTAGTGAGCACGTAGAATCCCGTCCAATGACCCCAAGCTACCCATCCCTATCGCTAGCGCGTAATTATGTTGCTGTAGCGACTGTGCAACGGGTGCCGGCAGTGAGTGTGCTCACGGACCAGGCTTTACACAATATGATATCCTACTAACCCTAACTAGAACGAGACCTCCTCTGGTCAAACAGGCACACCAGGTCACAACATTTTAGAGAAAGAGCTTTGGAATGGTAAAGAACTATAGAAAAATCGCCTAGCTGTAACTAGTTGGGAGTGATAACAACGCATTTTTTTTACAAACGTGCGCTTTTTGCAACTTCATAAGACAGTATTTAACAGCCAGGGCGCCCGCGGAAGACCAGCTTCAAGATAAATGCTGAGCCTATTGACGCAATGGCTTCGTAATTGTTTCTTGTTTTAATTAATTTTTTATTCCCGTTGTGTCGCTGTTTTGTTGTTGTTTAATATGTATTTTATTTTATTAGGGATAACAAACAATGTGCATATTTACCGTGTCAATAAAGTTTATCTATCTTTTTTAATTTGATACATTGTCCAAATATCTAACAGGAGACATGAGCTTATCAGAGGCGGTGTCCAACATATCCAGTCCCGACTACCAGGACCAGGACGATATGTTCGAGGCCGGACGCGAGTGTCCGCGCATGGAGCTCTCGGACGCGTCCGACTCGGACTCCACCATCCTGGTGTCCGAGCCCTGCCACAAGCGCGCCAAGCCCGCGCGTACGGACCGAAGTGGCAGCGACCTCACGCTCAACGGAGACCACAACGACTACAGGATAGTCATACAGGTTGTAAGTCTACACTTAGGCTGGGTTGCACCACCTTACTTTGACAAACGTCAAAAACCTGTCACACTCCATACAAAAAACACCGGTTATCGTTATAGTGTCGCTGAAAGTTAGGTGGTGCAACTCAGCCTTATTGATTGCTATTTTTTTTTCTTTTATGGCGTTCACGGCTTTTGGTTGTGTATTGCTTTGTTTTTTTTTATTCAGAGCTGGGAAATGACATTTGAGTCGGCTAAAATACTTTTTTATCATATCTTCGACGACAATTTCTTTTTAAATTGATGGTCACTAAATTGTCATTTAAGCTGATCTTACTAAATAAGTGTTGCCATGTCATGAGTGATTTATTATTTATCTTCTTGAACGTCTTGACGTTTTGTTTGAGTTCAGTGTCGCCTACGGTTCAAACGTGTATTTACTGTCATAAAAACTGTAATTAATGAAACTAATAAGGTGGCCATACGCATTGCACGGAGATCGTAAACTTTTTTTTTATTTTGCACTATTTTTATCGACACGACTGCCTGCATACGTAAATAAGTTTCGGATACCTATGCTGAACACCACAGTCAATTAGTTTGCAAATGTAGTTAGTTTTTGTTTACAGTTAATTAAATCTAATTCATACTTGTCGTTATACAGGTAAAGGGACCGGACAAACAAAACGCGAACATAAACGAGAATGTAAATAATAATAACAATAATACGAACTACGCGCAAAATGGAAAAGAAAATGGGCATAATTCGCCTGAAAATCAAGGCTACCAGGTGTGTATTGACATCTTTGTTAAAAAAAGTAATTTTAATAATAAAAAACGAGGCAATAAAGGGTTATATGTAGTTGACGTTATCGTATTATACGTGTGACGATGGCATATAATATTGTCACAAAAATGTGTACATGTATGTAATGTGTATAAATCTATTTATTTACGAACTTACTCAATCCATCATCGTATTGTCATATTCTGTTGAAATTCTATTAAAATCACGAAATTCGTGGGCCTATTTCGCGTCGTGAACTAAAAGTAAACAGGCGAGAGCGACAGATGATTAAAATTACGGCAGTTCAAATAAAAGATAGAACTAATGGCCAATATCGTACTGTTGGGCCTGTCATTTAGGGGATTCATGCATCCTCTGCTTTTGTTTTCCTATAGTAGTCTTTCTTTTGTTTTCATCCCCCATCTGTTTCACAGGAGCTAGGCAGCGGCTCGGACGGCGGCTCGGACGAAGGCTCGGACGGCGACTCGCTGCACTCGTTCCACTACAGCCCCAAGGCGGTGGACATACCTTCGGCCGAGCGCCTCGCCAAGCGGCTCTACCACCTCGACGGGTTCAAGAAGTCCGACGTGTCGAGGCATTTGAGTAAAAAGTAAGTAGCTATTGCTTAATCTTGTAAAGGGTTTTGTATATTCTCGTTACTTCTTGTGTTCTATGTCGACTTAAATAATTGAGTGGCCTGCAAATTAAAAGACGAAAAAAGGTTTTAAAGAGTTATGACCAACTTAGACACGAACTAAATCATGTTAGTCACAAATCATTCTGCGAACACATCTTTGAAAATGTAACGGTAACAAGAAATCTTGAGAGAGAAAAATCCCATAAATGTCAGTGAAATAAAAACATGGCGTAGTTATCTGACATTCCAGTCCGGCTGGCTTTTCAAAAGCCGGGCCCTCGCGAAATGATCCACATGTGTTCACTGATGTGCACGATTCAATATATTATATGCGGCGTACGATTAAAGAGCGGTAGATCGGTCATTTAACATCAAAAGTCACATAAATAGAGCTCGTTATCGGACATATTTTGGTCATTCTGACATTAAATTGACAATAGAAGTTATATCCTGAATTCCACTGACCTTTAACTTCTCTCCAGCAACGAGTTTAGCCGAGCAGTAGCCGAGGAATACGTGAAACACTTCGAGTTCAGCGGTGCGACCCTAGACGCGGCTCTGCGGGCCTTCCTCGCTCGCTTCGCGCTCAGCGGAGAGACGCAGGAGCGCGAGCGAGTGTTAGTCCACTTCTCCAGGCGATACCTCGAGTGCAACCCCGGCTCCTTCAACTCGCAAGGTGAGGCAACACAAGGCATGAAGCCACACATGTACACATCTTATGTGAACACCTTCCTCGCTCGCTTCGCGCTCAGCGGAGACGCAGGAGCGCGAGCGAGTGCTCGTCCACTTCTCACGGAGATACCTCGAGTGCAACCCCGGCTCCTTCAACTCGCAAGGTGAGACAACACAAGGCATGAAGATAAACATATTCTGACTAAAATGTCAACCCTGTAAAACACCTTTTTTAACACATTCCACTCTTAGGTCAACCCTCGCGAAGCTGGAGGATGACTACTGAAGCTTATTAAAGGCGTCTGAAACTTTGGACTCTAAATTGTTATTTATCCCCTCCTTATCATATAGTTGGATCCCCATCTCATTGGAAAGGCACCAAGTTTAGGCTAATTTGCCCTTGCGATATTAAAAGATTACGACCAAAGTTTCAAAGGTCAAACTTACGACTGTCAGTGCCCCGATTGCGTTAAATATTTTCAACTACAACGCGACTAGACGACGAACGAAACAATTGGAAAGTGATTAAATCCGTTGTTTCGTCTTTGTTTGCTTTGAAGTAGCGCCAATGTATTGCGCAATCGGGGCACTGATCAATAAAATCTGGAGTTCGGTGGCCGCTAATAATAAAACAACGTTACCTAACCAGCCCATGCTTACATCAGCGTCCCATCTCCCCCAGACGCGGTCCACACGTTAACGTGCGCCATAATGCTGCTCAACACGGACCTGCACGGCGGCGGCGCGGGCGCCTTCCGCCGCATGTCGTGCGCCGAGTTCGTGGACAACCTGGCCGAGCTCAACGACGGCGAGAACTTCCCGCGGGACACGCTCAAGCAGCTCTACCACGCCATACGCGCGCAGCCGCTGCAGTGGGCGCTGTGAGTACACCCGTCGTTTGAATCCTACTAAAGCCTGGTCCGTGAGCACGTAGAATCCCGTCCAATGACCCCAAGCTACCCATCCTTATCGCTCGCGCGTAATTATATTGCTGTCGCGACTGTGCGACGCGCGCCCGCAGTGAGTTTGTGAGCGCGACAGCAACATAATTACGTGCGAGCGACAAGGATGTGCAGCTTGGGGTCATTGGACGGGATTCTACGTGCTCACGGACCTGGCTTTAATATTATAAATGCGAAAATGTATATGGATGTCTGGATGTTAACATGTTTGTTACTCTTTCACTCAAAAACTACTGAAAAGATTTTGTTGAAACTTTACAGTATTATTGTTTATAACACTGATTAACATATAGGCTATTTAAAAATTATAACGATATGTGACAAATAAATTTCAATAAATAAATAAGACGTGTCTAAAAAGCGCCATCTATCGTCATTGGTTAAAATCTACAGCGCTGGACAAATTACTGTTTTTGACGTTCGTAAATATTCAACCGGGAAGCCGTGAAACGCCATCTATCAACATGATGTCTAACAACAGATTTTAAAGGGTAAAACAACGAGGTCCACGCGAACGAAGTCACGGACGTCCGCTAGTAAAGAAATAAAAACAAACTGCGAGTGTTGTGTCGCGTTCGAGCAACTGAAACTGCGACTCCTCCCACCGCACTCCTCGCGAGTGACGTGTCGCGCCGCTCGATGACTACTTAAACTAGCCGCATGATTTTGAAAGCAATTTAGTACTGCTTCGTAAGGCTCGCGATCGTTTACTAGAGGCTGGTTTATTTATAAACTGAAAAATTATAGTTTTGCAAGGGTGAATTAAAATACCTCATGAAAAAAGTATCCTCAGATCCAGGCAAGCTCGACTCAATTAAAGATTATCCTATCCCTACTTTTTGCAAGAGAACGGCCCTTTCTAATTTACCAGAGTTATTAAAGTACTTCACACTGACCTGACAAGTTAGGAAGGCCAGATCTTCGCATTTTTCTCCCTTAGCCACCTCTTACGATATCCACCGAAAAAGGAAATAGTCCAATTCTAACATCCCAGATCTGACGATTCAGACGGTCTTGTGAAGGTTGCGGAAAGAACCTGGATGCGGGCAGCGCAGGACCGGTCGTTATGGAAAGCCTTGGGGAGGCCTTTGTCCAGCAGTGGACGTTATTTGGCTGAAACGAACGAACTTTGTCAGAGCCACAGGTTGCTTTTATCTCAATTGTTTTAAAAAAAGAAAGATAAACTTACCAACTTATTCCTCACAGAGACACGGACACAGCAACGGCAGCCGCAGGCGAGAGCCGCAGCGCTCCCGTGGGCAGCAACCCGTTCCTGGACGTGCCCGACCAGTCGCGCGCCGTCGAGTACAAGAAGGGATACGTCATGCGCAAGTGCTGCGTCGACGCCAACGGGAAGAAAAGTAAGTGACACGCTCAATAGACTAAGATGCTATCAGGCCTCAGCCTCGAATTTAGCGGGCAGCGGCGCGGGAGCAGGGCGGCCAACGCAGACCCGTTCACCAAACAAGCGGACAGCTCGCGCGGCACTTTAGCGGCGTACGGCGGCTTTTAAGTGTTGTGTTCGGGGTTGTGTTGTCGAGATATTTGTTTTTATTCGCGAACGAAATGTCTGAACAACGGCGACAATTTTATTTCGATTCAAATTTATTCTTAACGCTTGATTTATTGTGGACAAAAGAAGAAGTGAGCGCCGCTAGACTGGAGTGCGCCGCCCGCTCGTTGCCCGCTCCCGCGCCGCTGCTGCGCCGCTGTTTTCGAGAACCGGTCTATTTAATTTTACGCATAAGATCCTGCCGCTCCCGCGTCGCCACCGCCGCCGCCCCGCTGCCCGCGAAATTCGAGGCTGAGGCCTCACGCGGAAATAGTCTAGGGTAGGCAAAAAGAGTGAGTAGCATGGCGCGACACGCCCGATAGACTAGGACTCTATCACACGCGAATAGGGCAGTAGACCAGTCGCACGCCGTCGAGTACAAGAAGGGATACGTCATGCGCAAGTGCTGCGTCGACGCCAACGGGAAGAAGAGTGAGTCATAAGAGTCATTTAATTTTGAAAAGAAAGCTTTTATAAAGCGCTTTATCACACACGATAGTATCGTCCAATATTAGGATGCGAAAGTTGTCACGGAACACATGCCCGGCCATTCGCGTACCGTCAAGTACAAAAAGGGATACGTCATTCGCAAGTGCTGCGTCGACGCTAACGACAAAAAGAGTGAGTGCGTGGCCCGCTCAATAGACTTTAAGACGCTATCACGCGGAAATAGTCTAGGGTAGGCAGAAAGAGTGAGTAGCATGGCGCGACACGCCCGATAGACTAGGACTCTATCACCCGTTCCTGGACGTGCCCGACCAGTCGCCCGCCGTCGAGTACAAGAAGGGATACGTCATGCGCAAGTGCTGCGTCGACGCTAACGGGAAGAAAAGTAAGTGACACGCTCAATAGACTAAGACGCTATCACGCGGAAATGGCGCGACACGCCCGATAGACTTATGACTCTATCACGCGGGAGTAAGGCAGTAGACCAGTCGCGCGCCGTCGAGTAAAAGAAGGGATACGTCATGCGCAAATGCTGCGTCGACGCCAACGGGAAGAAGAGTGAGTGCGCACATTAAGACGGAAGAGTAGGGTAGGCAAAAAAGTGAGCAGCATGCTGCGATATACCCGAGAGAACAGTGCTCGTTTTCACCATCAATTTTAAGTGACCGCTATGGTAACACATAACAGCAATTTTGTTTTCAAAGGGGTCACTTAAAAAAACAGGGATTGATGGTGAAAACGGGCATAGGACTCACCCGTTCCTGGACGTGCCCGACCAGTCGCGCGCCGTCGAGTACAAGAAGGGATACGTCATGCGCAAGTGCTGCGTCGACGCCAACGGGAAGAAGAGTGAGTCATAAACGTCTTTTATTTTATTTATTAGGTACACCAACAAAATCACATACAGTAAACAGTACATTTGTAACATGTTTAACACGTGTTGACATGTATTTTTGGCAAATAGGCTTTTACCACACGCCCGATATAGATTAGGGCCCTATGACGTGAGTGTTGACATACGACAACCTTCAGAGACTATTCGATACTCAATCGTTTATTCACTAGCTAGGACAGTCTTTCCCAAAGTGGGCGATAACGCCCTCTTGTGGGCGCTGCAGGTTTAAAGGGGGGCGGTAAGAGACCCAGAAAATAAATCGGGACGTTGTGTAGAGGCTTGGGAAGCGTCATCTACAAGGAGGACTCTTAGACATCGACTGAGCTCGACTCTTGACTACAAAAATGGGGGGCGCTAAAAAATAATTTACGCCCGCGCAGCGTGGTTGCAACGCAACGTTATTTTCTGACAAGTAACGCAACCCCTCAGAGCTCGGCGTTAGCGTTGCGGCGAAGTTTCGCAGGCGGCCTCCGCCTTAAACTTAGCTCAATCACAACAGATCTATGACTAAGATTAAGAGTAGGCGCACACCGTTGATTTTTAGTTGGCCGATAGTTGTGCCCGATTTTAATTTGTATGAAGAATCGGCCAAATCGAATCGGCGTAGTGTGCGCACTCCCATACTGATCAACTGCTCGACTAAACTATCGGCCGACGAAAAATCAACGGTGTGCGCCTACTCTAAATCGAAATTTTTAATATGGACCTAAGGTATTTTTCACCGGAGAGATAGTAAGTTGTTAGGGCTACAGACTTAATTGTAATATAAATTGTCTTTTCAGCACCATTCGGGCGACGCGGCTGGAAGATGTTCTACTGTACACTCCGGGACCTCGTGTTGTACTTGCACAAAGACGAGCACGGCTTCCGGCGCAGCCAGATGTCCGACAACCTACACAACGCCATTAGGTAAATGTCACTTTGACAGGTTTGACTATTGAAACAATTTTAATCGTAGGACACGACACGCTGTATGGCTATGCTCACGTGACATTGGCAAACGTGGAAACACAATAGCCATAGAAGACACGCTGCTGGAACAAATTTTTAATTTAATTAAATATCCCACTTAACACCAGGACAGGTGCGATTGTGGTCAAATACCTGCCCTGTTATACATAAAAAAAGCTACAAGGATTAAGACTCAAGATTCAAAGTAAGCTTGAATCTGTTCTTGAGTGCTGATACGGGCCTATAAATACTATTCAGAAAAATAGATGCTGTCATTTATACTATTGTTGTTTCATAACATGGTATTGAACACTATATTTCTCTTTATTTTGTAGGATACATCACGCGCTAGCAACGAAAGCGACAGACTACACAAAAAAGCAACACGTCTTCAGATTGCAAACTGCGGACCAGGCGGAATACTTGTTTCAAACGAGGTAAGTTCAGTTACAGGGTGACGAATTTTTCTATAATATCGCGTGCATTACTTTACTCGGGATATAACACCATTTAAGTCAAGTACATATTTCCTAATACAGTTATTATGAGTGTACAAGTCCCAAAAAGCCCACAGATAGTAACTTGAATAAAACCAAGATTCCAGTGGCAAGTCTCATTATTCCGAACCAAATTTGAGTATATGTAGGGGCCGTCTAAAATTTACATACCGCGATTCAACCTACAGACAGCGCCATCTATCGGTATCGCAATACACTACATATTATATGAAGCTTAACTTTGAACAATGAGCGTTTCTTATAATCGGTCACTAAGTTACTTGAGCTGCTTTTCAGCACTGGCTCACATTATTGTCTTCGGGACACATCTTTAAATCATAATGATTTGGAAATAGAACGGACGAAAACAAAGCTTTTTATTTGTGCAGCATTTTTAGTACTGGAGATGATGTGAGGATGAGGACAACCCACCACCACCCATGGCCATACCAACCTCGCGGTTATACTGGCCGAATCGCCTGAGGTGTGCGCGGAATGAGGGCTATCCTTTTTATACTTAACAGTTGGCACCCCTGGCGATTGACAGGACCTTACTCTACAGTGGCGCCATCTTGATGAGTGCAAATGCGATAGTCCTCCTACCACTTTAGCGCTCACCAGTTGGTGCCACTGTCTTCGCTACTAGCAAGTGACAGGACCTTACTCTACAGTGGCGCTAACTGGTGAGCGCTAAGACGATAGCCCTCATTGCGGCTGCCTAGGGCAGGTTGCACGTGGCCGTTTGATTGGCCGTGATCGTCTAGTGGTTAGAACCCTACGTTGTGTGAGGAGTAGATGATGGATTCCATCCATGTTTGTTGCAGCGATTCGAAAGAGCTGTGTTCGTGGGTGGAGACGATAAACTTTGTGTGCGCGGCCTACTCCGCGCCGCCGCTGGCCGGCGCCGTCGGCTCCCAGCGCAAGTTCCAGCGCCCGCTGCTGCCCTGCACGCACACCAAGCTCACTATGGTACGAATAGCTACATTTCTACTGCAAAATAAATAAATAAATAAATCTTTGGACAATTTCACACAGCGCCAGCTAGCCCCAAAGTAAGCAACTTAATGCTTGTGTTATGGGTGCTAGCTTGACGGATACACTAGTTATATACTTTTTTTTTTAATACATACATATTATACATAGTAACACCCAGACCCGTCACAAATTAAAATTCATCATTTCAATTTCTGCCCGGCCGGGAATCGAACCGGGGACCTCTCGGCATAGTAGTCCGTTCTGAACCACTACACCAAACGGCCGACATAAATGGTGCTAATGTCTTGGTAATAAGGTCCACGATGATTTCATCTTGCTAACACGTCAACCAATGGCGTAATTGGCTCCCAGCGCAAGTTCCAGCGCCCGCTGCTGCCCTGCACGCACACCAAGCTCACTATGGTACGAATATTTATATTATTACCTGCAATAAACAACTTTTTTAACGGGACTATTCCCACCTCTCGTTCCCACCACTGCAACTCCTGTGTAGCCAGGATCTACAGCTTGACCGCCACAAAAACCCAACCAATGAAGGTAAGTTTGTCTCGGGGGAAAGTTAAACTGTCATTGGACCCGCAACGAAATTAATCAGTAGAACATAGGAAGAGTTCGAAATTAAGGTTCCACTTCCCTCCATTGCAAAGCGGATGACAGGTGACAAACAAAGGTTTAAAACCTTTAAGAAAAGAATAAACAACTGCATAATAAACATAGAGGTCATGTCATGATAAAAACAGAGCGAGTGCTTATTTGATAGTAATGTGATGGCCGTTTTTGTTAATCCCGTCTTAAGCATTCTTTCCCATACACGTTTCTGTTTTTGTCTTGACCGCACGGAATGATCAAAGTCAATCAAAGCTGTATTTTCATTGTGAAGCGACACGGCCATAATCTGCAGTAACACTACGCTACTCCAGTGACTTTAAATTTTAGACTTACCGCTTCAGAGCTCACCAGTTGGTGCCACTGTTTTGGTGAGTGCAAATACGACAGCACTCGTTAAATCGTCATAATGAGGGCTATCGTTTTTATACTTAACAGTTGGCACCCCTGACGATTGACAGGACCTTACTCTACAGTGGCGCCATCTTGATGAGTGCAAATGCGATAGTCCTCCTACCACTTTAGCGCTCACAAGGTGGCGCCACTGACTTCGCTAATAGCAAGTGACAGGACCTTACTCTACAGTGGCGCTAACTGGTGAGCGCTAAAACGATAGCCCTCATTATCCCACAATTCCATCTGCAGTTTGCTCCATAACACGACTTGGCTAATCCCTCGGTCGCCCAACGTCAAAACTAGACCTTATAACGTCGTCTAAAAGTATCTATTCCTTCCACCCACAGCGGGAGCAAGTGGCGTCGCACGAAGAACGCGCGGCTCGACTGGAGGAGGAGCTGGCGGCGTTGCGACACGCGCGAGACAACGCGCCGCACGCGCGCGACAAGGACCACTATCTGGTCTACGAGGTCAGTTCATCAACAGCCCTTTACAGTCCACTGCTGGACTATGAGCCTCCTCCACTATAGTAGAGGGTTATGCCATAATCCCCACGCTTGGCAGGCGGGTTGGAGATCGCAGTTTAAAAGATTTATGTTTGTCAGAGAGCGCTGCTGCCCGTTCTCTGTTTGATGTGTAATCCCTAAGTCGCCTCTTACGACCTCTTAGGTCAGTTATTACACAAGATTTCTCAATAAGTGCTAGGGCAGGGTTTCCCATTTTTTTTTTGCCAAGGAACCCTAATTGATTATACTTTTCCTAGCGGAACCCCCGTACTACTCCGCCCGCACGCCCTGCCCCTCCCTTGTTCGTAAACAAGTCGGTGCGAGCGAACAACGTCGGTCACGAAGCGTGGGATAATATTTTTTACGGAACCCTTGCGGCCTTTCCACGGAACCCCAGGGTCCCGCGGACCACCATTCGGGAACCGCTGTGCTAGAGAACCGTTAGGTCTCATGCGCACTTTCGACGACGCATTGACACGCGTTTGATGCAATAGCTAGCGGTCACAACGGAAGAAAATCACAAGAAAAAAATTAAAGAAGATCGCAAATGCTATCTTAATCATGTACAAGTTTCAAGTTTAGCAGCATATCTAACGCAAAGTCTGAAAACGTACATAACAATGTGAATATATTTTAATATCACTTCGTATTCAAAATTCACATATTCACGCGTCTTTTCGGAACTATTTTTTACCTCTCATTCTCGCCACTGCAACTTCTGTATCCAGAATGTGTAAAGCCTGGTCCGTGAGCACGTAGAATTTTGTCCAATGACCCCAAGCTACCCGTCCTTATCGCTCGCGCGTAATTATATTGCTGTCGCGACTATGCGACGGGCGCCCGCAGTGAGTGTGTGAGCGCGACAGCAACATAATTACGCGCGAGCGATAAGGATAGGTAGCTTGGGGTCATTGGACAAAATTCTACGTGCTCACGGACCAGAGCCCCGATTACGGTAACTTTTAACGTTTCCAATCCAGACGCGCTTCATCGATTCTGCGATACAATTGGTCAAAACAGCTGACGTACGCTGTTGGACGACCAATCGTATCGCAGAATCGAGAAGCGTGTCTGGATTGGAGACGTTAAAAATTACCGTAATCGGGGCTCTGGCTTTAGTTTGGTCGTTAACGAAATGCAGCCATCTAGTGCTCGACGCAAAACTGACATAACAACCTTTGTCAACAGATAAAAAGGTACCGCACGTACGCGTACGTGATGCGAGCGCGCGCGACAGGCGCCGGCGCCGACGACGCCGCGCCCGCGCTGCCCGACCGTCCGCACGCCGCGCCCGCGCCCGCGCCCGCGCCGCCCTGACGCGCCATGGCGGTATTCGCCGCCTGCGTGCTGTGACCCCGGCCCGGCAACCGGCACCGGACTCTGTGCTCGCCTTTCGAAAGCGGACTCTTCTGCGTCACCATACAAGGCTCGGATCTGTGATCGGACACTGTGGTCGTTTTTGAAAGTGGACTCTTTTGCGTCACCCGGACCTATGATCGCGCGGTGTGCTCGCCTTTTAAAAGTGGACTCTTCTGCGTCACCATACAACGCGGCCCGGACTTGTGATATCGCGGTGTGCTCGCCTTTAAAAAGCGGACTCTTCTGCGTCACCATACACGGTTCCGATCTGTGATCGCGCGGTGTGCTCACCTTTTAAAAGCGGCCGCGCCCGCGCCGCCCTGACGCGCCATGGCGGTGTTCGCCGCCTGCGTGCTGTGACCCCGGCCCGCCCGCGCGGACAACCGGCACCGGACACTGTGCTCGACTTTTGAGAGCGGACTCTTCTGCGTCACCATACACGACTCGGACCTGTGATCGGACACTGTGGTCGTTTTTGAAAGCGGACTCTTTTGTGTCACCATACAACGCGGCCCGGACATGTGGTATCGCGGTGTGCTCGCCTTTTGAAAGCGGACTCTTCTGCGTCACCATACAACGCGGCCCGGACTTGTGATATTGTGATATCGCGGTGTGCTCGCCTTTAAAAAGCGGACTCTTCTGCGTCACCATACACGGTTCCGATCTGTGATCGCGCGGTATGCTCACCTTTTAAAAGCGGCCGCGCCCGCGCCCGCGCCGCCCTGACGCGCCATGGCGGTGTTCGCCGCCTGCGTGCTGTGACCCCGGCCCGCCCGCGCGGACAACCGGCACCAGACACTGTGCTCGCCTTTCGAAAGCGGACTCTTCTGCGTCACCATACACGGCTCGGACCTGTGATCGGACACTGTGCTCGCCTTTTGAAAGCGGACTCTTCTGCGTCACCATACAACGTGGCCCGGACTTGTGATATCGCGGTGTGCTTGGGTTCGGACCTGTGATCTGACACTGTGGTCGACTTTTGAAAGTGGACTCTTCTGCGTCACCATACACGGTTCGGATCTGTGATCGCGCGGTGTGCTCGTCTTTTGAAAGCGGACTCTTCTACGTCACCATACAAGGTCCGGACCTGTGATCGCGCGGTGTGCTCGCCTTATGAAAGCGGACTCTTCTGCGTCACCATACGCGGCCCGGATCTGTGATCTGACATTGTGGTCGACTTTTGAGAGCGGACTCTTCTGTGTCACCATACAACGCGGCCCGGACATGTGATATCGCGGTGTGCTCGCCTTTTGAAAGCGGACTCTTCTGCGTCACCATACAACCCGGCCCGGACCTGTGATCGCGCGGTGTGCTCGCCTTTTGGAAAGTGGACTTCTGCGTCACCATAAAACCAGGACCGGACCTGTGACCGGACACTGCTCGCCTTTTGAAAGCAGACTCTTCTGCGTCACCGTACAATCCGGACCTGTGACCGCACGGTGTGCTCGTCTTTTGAATGTGGAACGGCAGCGATGCCGATCATCGATATGGACGATGCGTACGATTTCACGTTTCACAAACATTTTAGATAACGAACGAATTAGAAAATACGATGTGTATACTTCGCGTTACACAAACGATATCACACTCAGTTTAACAGGTCTTTGTGGTCGCGCCCCTAGTGTTTTGTGATGTCGACTTCTGATCGAGTCTGTTCAAATAAACAGTTAGTGCCCATCGAAAATATGTAAACCGTATCTCAAAGTATATACATAATAAACTTCGCATTCCATAATAAAAAATAGTACGGGAGTATCTTGCGGGAGTTAGGTCGACTGCGGTAGTCTGTAGTCCCCTAGCGTTGTATGACTTCAAATAATCTCCCCACCATTAGTGAAACCTGTCAAAGACTGCTGATACCGAAAAAACTCGTCTCGATTCGTCGCATGCGAAATTGCGAATTGCGGTCTCACTTAGGACTAAATTGTTTTGTACGAAATCGTAAATTCCATTAACTTTTTATACCACCGAATACTCAGCTCCCGTTATCGTAATTGATCTGCCGCAGATCGTCGGTTTGAGCATCAAATAAAATTATCGATAAGGGTATCTTTACTAAAAAATATAGTAAATAGTTACATTAGTGACGTCACTCCCATTTTTATATGAGCAATGTATTGTCGAAAATAAGATAATATTCGAAATTACGTGACCGGTCTATTCCGTTACAAATCCATTGACTATAAAATAGTCATATAAGACGGTGCTTCGATGCCGTTCGATGAGCTATCGGGTGTGGATGGACACTTCGCGGGCGGCATTTATCCGGGTGACGTTAAAATTGTGCCGAATGAAACTGTATTAAAGACGCGGCGATTGGACGCCATGAAACATGGCCGCGGGAGGCGGATTTGTACACTTTGTAATTTGATGTCGTAAAAATTAAAATTATATTCAACTCATCTAGTCCTGTCTTCCTTGCGATGTGCATACCTTTGTTGAATCATTCGATTGTACATTGAAGATTGTGCTTCGTGTATAATCAGTATTATCGTAGAAAAAAAATATGAATATATTTTAAATTTAAATAAATTATAATACTCAAAGCTCGTATGATTATCGCTGATATGTATCTTGTGGTGTCTGAGGGTCTTCGCGAAACGATATAGATACTAAAGCTCCATCTGTCTCTTTTCTCTTATGTATCACGGGATAAGTGAAAGAGACTTATTAGAGCAAAATATATCGTTTAGCGAAAAGGCAATAAAACGCGCGCTGCTTTAAGATGACCCGTCACCTGTATACTGGACTGAATCTAAAGGGTTGGAATGTAAATGCTTAAAGGCATCTAGAAATGCGTTATTACAAAATTGTATCGATGTTGGTAAATTAAAAAAAATGGGGGTCAGCAGTGGTGACGATGAGATTTATACGCTTTAATTCTCTTATATGTTAATTGTAAACATTGGCTTGATATAGCGGCTATACATCATTTATCATTCCATGTGTTAAGGATCACGCGGACCGCGGAGGAACGCGGGACAGATGCTAGGTTTAGCTGTTGAACCTTGAACATTTTAGAATTTCACAATATTGACTCGGTATATTATTTGACAACAGCTGAATTTACAATACTTTGTAAATAGATTTTAAAGAGACTGATATGTGAAGTTATTTATTTCGTTTGTAAATCAACCAGTGTCAAATCTTAGGCATCGATAGTAAGTCATTAATTCATTATGTCCCTAGGATCTCAATGTATGTAATTATAGCTGTGTAATGAGCGTGTCGCGCTCGCGAGGCGTGTAGCGCCGCGTGCGGTGGTTTGGTGACAGGTCAAACATCGCATTTGGATAGGTACACGTGTTTATAATAAGTTATTTTTTGTTACTACTTATCGTTTATATCGCAAGCACTGGTTCTGGCAAATAAATATATTTGTATTGTTCTATTCGTGTTTACAAAATATAAAATAAACATAAGACACTGAATAAATTGCCTAAATTACAGATACATTTTACTTTTGTCTCTACAAATTAAAAGTGCTAAATGTCTGAGTTATTAGTTAATTTAGTAATTTTATGTTTATTACTTTCCAGATGGTATTTTACAGAAAAAAAAACAGTAGTTTCTTGATTCTAGAAGTATAATTATTAAAATTATTACTTTTCTGAACATTATATTCATAATATTAAGAGAATCACGTAATATTACAAGTATGTATTAAATTAATATTATCATAACAAGCCCATTGAAAGTCATTTACGGCCTATTTTTATGTGTTTAAAGTACAGACTGACTGTTCAAAATGATTGTAACGTGTAAGAAAAATATTTCTTCCATTATTTATAAAATTCAAACTACTATAGCTACACTGCAGATAAAAACCAACAATGTGTTCAAATTTCATTCAATCTAGAGTAGACATTTAGCACTTTTTTGATTGTGCCAGTGTTTAATGAAACAAGCTTTATTTATTGTTAAATCCTAATATTGTCACTATAAATGCTAATTAATTAAATTTGGCTCTTATTTTAATATTCTCATAAGGCCAAACTGATTGACTTGAAATTCAAGTTTTTCTGTATTGATATTAGATTGTTTTAGATTTATGTAAACCTAATCATTGTAAATAGAATATTTTTTTATTAATTATTTACATGTTACTTTTATTTTATATTATTTACTTAAATGTATAGCTTGGTGAGATGTGTTTTAATTAAAATGCGCTTATTAAACCTTAATTAGGATCTTTAGTCGGCTATAATGGCAGTTAAAGCTTGCATTTTTGTTTTGAGTCACAATCAAAGCTTAGTGTATTGTAACTTGTGTTACATTATGATTATGATTATAGGTACTTGCTGAAAAAATCTTTGTATAATTTGTAAAATGTTTTCTTTAAAATATAACGAAATTGGCATAATATATTGTAAAGTGTGGTATTCCTCAACTATAATAATTGTCTCTTTCTCCGTCATATAGATTGCAAGTCCTACCACGATTTTATGAATGGCGGGGTTTAAAAAACTAAAATCTCTGACTTGTACAAATCGCCAAATATAATACAATTTATATTAGTCATAGGTTTTAGTTTCCCTATAATGCGATCATAGTGAGGATGTGTAATCTACAGCTGCACATCTAATAAGGTAACAACTGATGCACAGTTATGATATGTTGCCAGTTGTAGCCTATTGGATACGAAACTTAATACAGTCCTACTCATGCTTGTTGGCCTATTTTTTAAGTGACCTTTGGGGTTTTCAATCATTTTATAAGTAATAAACACCTAAATGTTAATAGTGAATATTACATTACACCGTAATTACTTACTTAAATAGGCGTTTACTTGGGAACAAGCATAGCAGGGTTGGTTTGTACAATTAAACAGATTATCACCTAATTCGAGAGACTTATCAAAACTGTGTCGTCCTTAAGAATCTTATGCCAAATGCTTCAAACTGTATGGATTTAATGTCTGCTCAATATGTTGTCCATATTTTATAATTCTAAACTGTACTAAAATGCTTAGTACTTTTCTTATCTTCTTACTTCATCACAGCACTCTTTAAATATTAGGCATAAAAATAGATGACACAAAGTATTATAAAGGTATAATCACTATTGGTAAGTATGGAATTAAAAAGTTGGCTGTGCCGGAATTATAGATTTAACATTTCGATTCTGTAAACATAGGTAGATATCGAATAACTCTTGCTGGAGACGCGCCATCTACGTCGGCGACTCCCGCCATTTGATAGAAACTATAACGTATTTGATGAGTTATAGCAAATGCCAGTCTTTACATATTTTATGCTTTTTCAAAATGTAAATAAGATATAACATGAGTGTTTCAAGAACCTTATCAAATGTTTATCTGTCATCTGGGAAAGTACAGCGTTATGTCTCAAGTATTTAAAACTACCATGTATGTATAATAGCCTTAGTTTTTTCTTTTGTACCAGTCATAACCCTTTGGAGAGCTGAAATAAATACATCAAAATAAATTTATGATTTTATTACACTTAGTTTAATAAATTATTTACAACTTAAGATCTTATGCCAAAAGTATAATCCGTATTTTTCTGTAATGGCCTTTGTAAAGGATGAGCCAGTAGTTTTGCAATGCAATCGTGTATCTTTGTGGCGTTTCTGGAGACCTCATAAACATAAGAATACCCATTATCTAAATCTTGCAAAGCATCATATATTTCTTCACACTTATACAATGCACAATCATCTTCATGTGACAGCAAGATGTCTATGTAAAAATATGCTTGTCTCTTCAGAAACATGAAGTATGGGTCATCCAGTGGTATCACTGGAACACAGTTTGATCGACCATATAAAATGATTGTGCGCACAACATAAGGTGGAGGCATAATGCATTCTCCCTGTTTGTATTCCGGTATTTCAATATTATCTTTTAGTAACTGGAATATTGATTGGAAATTGAAGCTTTCAGATGTGCTTTCCTCACGTTGAATGTAATCGATAATATTAATTATATCTTTCAAGTTACTTGTAAAGTTATGTAGCCAGCATGCCTCATTGTCTTTCATAATCAACAGAGCAAACTCTGTTCTTTTGTTAATGGCATGCTTTGAATGGAGGAAAAAGTCTAAGACTCGTTTAATCATGTTTATAGGTGTGAATGTAGTACCATCCCCAAGACGGAACAAGGTATCACTATCATCATTACAAACATCCAAACATAAAATAATGCGCTCAGGAACGTTGATATTAGGTATGTTTGGCTTCTGAAAGTTAGCTATTACATGTTCATGTAAGTCTTGGAATTCTTCAGTAGTTTTTTTCTTACTTCTGAAAAGAAAATTACTTTTATTATTACTTTCTCAAGTATTTTACATAAAAAAATCATGAATAACTACACGTACCCTGAGTTGGAATCAGATACCGGGAGTGGATTCGAGGATAGAATATCTGGGGATTCCATCATTGTAACTAATGTGTATAATTATTCATTCAAACTTCTTTTTATACGGATTTGACTCGACAAAATAAAAAATTGAAAATGAAAATAGCGAGCGAGCAACTCGTTTCATTAAATTTTTTGACATTTATTGACAAATAGGATTGGGTAAAAAATATCGATATATCAAAATATCGATATTTTTTCAGAAAAATATCGATATAAATTAGCGATATTTTTTCCGGCGATATATCAATTTTCGATATTTATTTTCAGATATCAAAATCGATATATTTGTCATCTGAAAGGGTAGCTTCAGCGGTAAATTTGGCTGTGCCATATGATAGGAGCAGACTTACAGGAGAACACATCAAACAAAGAGTGCTCCTGATGTCAATATCAGACAAATACTGGTTTGAATAATGTTTTTTTGTCAATGTTTAATTGCTCATTCGAAAAAATAAATTGAAATATTACAACTTGAGTTGAAACAGCGACATGTGTTTTCTATAAAATTTAGATAATTTTGGCCATTTTTATAAATAATTGCAAATTGGGCAAAAAATATCGATATATCGAAATATCGATATTTCTTGGGCGATATACAGGGTGACTGGAACTCAACCCGCCATAGCTAATACGCGTATAGAGGAGGTCATTTGCTAATTATTGAACCTTACTTTCTATGTCTAAAGTTTTATAGTTTAGGAGATATGTCAATTTTTAAACTTTTTTCAGATTTTTCCGAAATTTGACCTAAAAACGGCTTAAATTTTTTTTCTCGCGTAATTTCAACAGTTTTTTTTATTAGATATTAATATCGAATATGTCTTTATTCAAATAAAATAGATTTATAATCCAGATAATGATTGAATAACTAGTTACGAGCCGCCAAAGTCTAACAAAAGTACAAACCACGAAAAAAAATTGTACTTCGAATTCGATTTAAAAAAAAACTAATGGTGTTAATGGATTGCCAATAATCTTAAAAATATCTCTAGCTTCTCTTCTTTCCAATGATATATCACACGTTGTAATTAGATATTGAAATTAGTCAAAAATTCAAAGTTTATGGAAGAAAATGGAGTAATAATACAAAAATTATCAATACAAAGTTGATTTTGAATTTTTTTATAATGTGAATGTGATTATTATTTTAAATTAATTTTTCAAAAAACACACAAAAATAGTTATGAAAAGGAGTATAGCAGAAAATATGAGTTGTTTGAAGAAACTTTGTATGGATAATTTTCGTAAATTACTCCATTTTCTTCCATAAACTTTGAATTTTTAATAAATTTCAATATCTAATTACTAAGTGTGATATGTCATTGGAAAGAAGAGAAGGTAGATATATTTTTAAGATCATTGGCAATCCATTATCACCATTAGTTTTTTCTTAAATTGAAATCGAATTTGAATTTTTTATCGTGGTTTATACTTTTGTTGAACTTTGGCGGCTCGTAACTAGTTATTCAATCATTATCTGGATCTGAAATTTATTTTATTTGACTAAAGGTTTATTCGATATTAGTATCAAATAAAAAAATCGGTTAAAATCATGCGAGAAAAAAAAATTAAGCAGTTTTTAGATCATATTTCGGAAAAAGTATGAAAATTGACATATCTCCTAAACTATGAAACTTTAGTCATAGAAAGTAAGGTTCAATAATTAGCAAATGACCTCCTCTATACGCGTATTAGCTATGGCGGGTTCAGTTCCAGTCACCCTGTATATCGATATATTTGAAAAATATCGATACGATAAATATCGATATTTTTTTTCCGTTTGCCCATCCCTATTGACAAACAACAAAGTGACAGTGACAGTAACGTTTTTTAATCGATCTTACCTTTTGTAAGCAAAGGCAATAGATACTAGGGCACTATTTAAGTTGTGAGCCTCGACAACATAACGTGTTGTTAGACGATATCTGATACTTTTAATGAAAAGTTTGACATATTTGACTACAACCTTATTCAAAACTTTTTATCATTTGAGCACGTTTTGTATTATTAACATTGAATTGAAAATTATCTTGACTACAAAAACATGGAATTGACTTGTGGAAATTTTCGCGCGAAGATTTATTATGACTTTCGACGTGGTTAATCAATACAAAACTGAAGCGGTCAGCTAAATTTCTCTTTTGGTGATAAAGATCTGTCTTTTACCATTGTATAACGCTAGTTTAAGAAGTATAAAATTGTATGTCATTGGCTCACCAGTGAACTTTGCGAAAGTCGTCCAAAATGACTAATAGTGGCGGAAAACATTGATGTTGTCAGAAAAATGGAAGAGAAACCTCGTCATGTGATATATCGTAGGATTGAGATAATCCTAGGCATTAATTCCACTAGCAGTAATAAAATATTGTATGACCATATTATTATGGTTAATACGTTTTTTTGTCGCTGGATGTCCCAAAATTTTTCAAACGCTCAATAGGACGCTTGTGTCGTTTAGTCCTTAAAAATGTTTGATAAATACGTTTAAAAAGCTTTAAAAGCCGTTTTTAAAATTGTGACAGTTGACGAATTAAGGATCTATGCATAATTACATCTAAATAATAAAAAGATAATTGTTGGCACAGCCTACAGACCTCCATGGCAGGACGTTAGTGTATTCCTGGACGCCATAGCTGAATCGATTGCCTCCTGTGCAGAATGTGACGGATTGGTGCTTCTCGGCGACTTTAATATCAACTTACTAGACAAGAGTAACAGTAAGTGCAGAGAGCTAATGCAGTGCATTGACAGCCTTAATCTGAAGCAGGTGATATCGGAGCCGACGCACTACACAGATCACAGCAGTACTCTCATTGACATTATATGCACTGATATGGGGGCTGTTCAGGTCACCGTAAAGCACTCACCGGATCTGGGTGGCCATGCCATGCTCATGGTTGAATTTAAGGTCCGGAAGGAGAAAGTTCGGCCACGCTGGGTTACTTATAGACCATTAAAAAATATTATACCAGAACAACTTGAAGCTGATCTCAGTGCAATCGATTGGTCCAATCTCGAGGGAGTTGTGGATGTGAACTCTAAGGTTGAGAATCTGGGACGGTGTATTCTAGGGTTGATGGATCTGCATGCCCCGATCAAGACACGTAGATTTAAACATCCTCCTCACCCCTGGATAACAGATACCATCAGGGAAATGATACACATCAGGGACGACTATCACAAGCAGTATAAGAAGAATGCAACCACCGCTCTTAGAGATAGTTACAAAATGATGAAGAAGATGGTGGTTGACGCAATTGAGAGGGAAAAAACCTGCTTCTTCAAAAACCACATCAATAGTAACTCAAAAAATCCTAAGCAGCTTTGGAAAAATCTGAAAAGTACAGTGTTACCGAACAAGAAAGGCGCTTGTGAGCTTCCTCCAGTGTTTAACAACCCTAATTCAATTAATCATCATTTCCTCAACGTGCCTGGGGGAAACAATGTGACGATCTCTCAATTAACCTATTACGAATATCACAGACATAGGAACCTTATATCATTCTCACTCCATACTGTTAGCTCAGACGTTGTCTTAAGAACCATCACAGCGCTCAAATCGAATGCTCAGGGAAGTGACGGCATCACACTGGATATGCTGATGCTCACATTGCCTTACTCACTCAAAGCACTCACCGACATAGTGAACAGTTCTATACTGCAAGGGATCTTTCCAGACTGTTGGAAGGTGGCAGTCGTAAGGCCACTACCAAAAACTGGTCATCCTGCTTCAGTTCAGGACTTGAGGCCTATCAGCATCCTACCATGTTTGTCCAAAATCCTCGAGCGTATAGTTTGTGATCAATTAACTAAATACCTTGAGGAGCAGGGGCTGCTCCCGCGCCGTCAATCGGGATTCCGCAAGGGTTTTGGGACGGCTACAGCTCTTTCGGATGTGGTTGATGACCTTCTGGCTGCTCAGGATGGGGGGTTGGTTTCGACGCTGGTGCTGCTGGACTTCTCGCGCGCCTTCGACTCCATTAATATTCCTCTGCTTCTCTCCAAGTTGCGTTATTATGGTCTTGATGATTCCTCCATACGATGGTTTCATAGCTATCTCTCTCTGAGACAGCAGTACGTGGAGCTGAAAGGGGTGGATGGGTCGGCATTATTGTCAGAACAAAAACCAGTAACTCGCGGAGTTCCTCAGGGATCCATATTGGGTCCAATACTGTACATTTTGTACAGTGCTGACATAATCAACTGTATCAAGGACTGTCAATACCACCTATATGCCGATGATCTACAATTATATACATCATTCCCTCCATCTGATCATGAAAATGCAATAATGAAGATCAACAACCAACTAAGCAGAATTTTTGACTGGTGTACAGCCAATTGCCTTGTTCTCAACCCAAGAAAATCAAAGTTCATGCTAACCGGAACACGTAGAGGCTTGGAAACTCTTAAAAGCATACAACTCAACGTTGAAATAAATGGAGATCCTTTGGAAAGAGTGGCTGAGGCGAGAAACCTGGGAATGGTCATTGATGGAAACCTCAAATTCGAAAGCCATATACTCGAGTGCACTAAGAATTGCTTTTACCGCTTAAAGATTCTATACAACTTGAGGCCCTATTTAAGCGAAAGCCTTAGAATATCTTTATGTGAATCACTTGTATTAAGCAAACTTAACTACTGTGATACAGTGTATGGCCCGTGCTTGCTGGGTAAATCGTCACGTCTCATTCAAAGAGTACAAAACGCATGCGCCCGTTTTTGTTTCACTGTGCCTCCGAGATCACACATCACGCCATTCCTGAACTCATCAAACATGTTAAAGATGGCTGCTCGGCGAAGATTGCACCTGGCCACCATGTTGTTTGGCATACTGGATAGTGCGAGGCCTAAGTATCTGTTCAGCAAACTGGAATGGGCCCAAGCTCAGAGTAGATATCCAAAGAGGCTATGCACTCACATATTTGCTACACCCAAACATCGCACAGCAGCTTTTCGCGGGTCATTCAGATTTGCGGCGTCCCGGTGCTGGAACGACCTGCCTCCTCCTCTGCGCGCCCTGAAAACAAAATTTACTTTTAAACATCACCTAAGAAAATATTTAATAGAATTGCAAAAGACTGACAATGATGGGTTACTTACCAGCGGGTCATGCGCGGCAAGC